TCCTCCAGCCCCGTCAAGAAGCCCGAGGAGATGAGCCCCGAAGAGCAGCAGCGCCCGAACGGGGCGGCCGCGGGGCCGCTGAGCCCCAGCTTGGACGAGCGCGACTTCGGGGACATCACGGAGCTGCCCGTCGTGGTGGCCAAGGGCGGGGCGGGCATGAAGCACGCCGAGTCCATCATGTCCTTCCACATCGACCTGGGGCCCTCCATGCTCGGGGACGTCCTGAGCATCATGGATAAGGATCAGTGGGAGCAGGACGAAGACCCCGAGGCAGAGGAGAGCCACGAGGAGGAGGGGGAGGCCGCCCTGCCCGGCTCCCCGGTGGTGGCGGTGGTGGCCCCGCCGAGCCAGAGCCCGGCCCGTGGGCCCAGGGACAGCAGTCCAGCATCCAGCTGCACCTCGGGGCCCGAGGAGCGCAGCCCTGTCCCCAGGCCACCGAGCCAGCGGGGGGGGCCCCCAAAACGCCCCGACAGGGAGTTCTCGTTTGCTGATGAAGATGATGATGAGATACGAGTATAAAGGAGGGCGACCAAGCCGAGGGTCTGGTTCTCACTGCGGTTCTTGGACATGGGGCTGAACACCCCGGTGCTGCAACGGTGGCACCAGGGAAGACGTGACTCCTCCCTCCTTCCCTCTCCCTGTGCCATGGCAGGACAGTGATCTGCTCCCAGGGCCAGTCTGCTCCCAGGGCTGGGGGCATTCCCGACATCTCTCAGCACTTCCTGGGAGGGGAAGGCAGACTCAGTTTTGGTTCTTTCTGTTGGACTTTGGATATTAGCTCTTCTCTCCTGCCCCCCTGCCCACGTAAAGCAATTTAGGATCCAACAGGACGAGCCTTTGGAGTTCTAGCCCCTGTAGTAATATATATATTTTTTCCTGCCGTACGGTTTTTACTGTTTTCTGATTTGTACTTAACTTTCTTTACTCTCGCTTTTGGTTTTAACGGAGGGGAGATTTCCCGTGAGGAAGAACTTGGCTCTGGAGCTCAGAGGTGGCCCAGGACTGTGGGCAGCTTCACCTCCTTGGGTTTCTTGTGGACTTTCTGCAGACCAAGAGCCTCCAGCCCTGTGCCAAGGCAGGTGCTCGGATGCATGGATGGATGGATGGATCCATCCCAGATGCTTGACCCTCCAACCAGCCTGGGGGTCACAGGGATGCCCCCAGCCAGCCCAGGCACCGGCTGCTCCTGGGGGTGCTGATGGAAGTGTGGGTCTGTCCCCCCTGGGAGGAGCACCTGGAAGCCCCCTGAGCCAGGGAGCCCCGATGTCCCGGTGCTGTGGGGCCGGTGGGGCCGGGCAGTGCCAACACTGGGCTGGTGCAGGCAGCTGGAACAGGAGGTTTTATACCATGTATGTACAGATGCAAAGAATAAAAGGAAATGGTAGTGACTGCAATGGCCTGAGTTCCTGAGGGATGAGATCTGTGGGGACCTGCTCCCCAAGCAGGACCAGTTCCCTGTGCTGCCGCTGTCCCCGGCCCCCGTCCTGCTGCCTCCACCTTCGAGCCCGTCCCTGGCTGTGATCCTGTCCTGGCCGGAGTTTGGGCACCTGCAGTGGCCGTGCTTTCTCGGCCCACGGCGGGAGGAAGCGGGAGAGCTCCCGCTGGCCGGATCTGGCTCCGGGCTGGGCCCCTCTGGCCACACGGCTCCTGCCAAGGGACAGCTCTGCCAACTCTGCTCTGCCCCCAGCCCTGCTCCCTCCCTGCCAGCCAGGGAGGAGGGGAGGGTGATGGTGGGGCAGGACTGGCTGTCCCTGCTCCCACGGGCTGGGGGCCAGGGCTGAGGGTGCCCTGGGGGCTCCCGTCCCTGCGGGGTATCCATAGCCCTGGATGATCCTGGCATGGAGAGCAGGGCAGGTCACTCCCATTCCAGAGCCAGCTTCCCACAGCTCAGCCACTGGTGTAATGGGGCTGTGCCAGGACTGCCTTCCCATTCCAGCCCCAGAGCCCTTCCCAAGTGGGTGGAGAGCGTGGCTCTGCTGGGATTACCAGCCAGGACCTCCTCACCAGTGATGGAGAGGGAAGGATTTAGCCCCCCCAACATCTCCCAGCCCTAGGGGGGGCTGGATGCCCCAGTCCTCCCAAATGGATGTCCCCTGGTGAAGCTGGTGGGAGCGGGCAAGTGCTGCTCCACAGTGGGGACACAATGGGGTCCTGTGCGTGCTCTTGGCAGGACACAACACCCTGGGCAGGGGACATTGGGCCATTGTCTGGGACAGGGAGAACAACAGCAGCTGCAGCTGGTGGCTCTGAGCTCACCAGGCTGCCTCTGCCCCCATTGCCAGGGCACAGCCCCCTGTCCTGTGCCAGGGTCCCACGTCCATCCCCCGAGCCCATGGTCCTGGTCGCTGTCCCCTGGGAGGTCACCAGGCTGCTGGGGGACTCGTGGCTCCTCCTGTCCCCGAGGGGTGCTCTGACACAAACCAGCAGGGCAGGGTGGCTCCCTGGGCTTTGCACCCTCTGCCAGGACCCCCTCGCTCCCCAGGGCTGTGGGGATGGGGGGGCCCTGGGGTGACCCTTCACGGGC